GCTAACCATAGCCACCTAGGGTAAATCCAGGGTGGTAAGTATGATGGTCTTGCAAATTTGCAATGCAGCCGGGATAAGTGCCCTTGCCTGCTCTCCCATCTCTCCCTGCCTCGTTTGCTTTGCCTAATGAGATGGAGACTAAATTTTTCGAAGTGAAAACAACTTTCTTCATTTTGCATATGCTGTGCAGTTACATGTGAAACTGTGTCTCTGTGTTGGATGCATCCATGAGCACAATTAGGATGTGGAAACAAAACACTTAATTAGGATGAAATGTCAGACAAGCGCCGCATCTGTGCTGTAAATATACGTGGAGCAGCCCCTGTCTTTGTGGTAGTTTTCATTTGTCCACACATCAGCTGAGTTTCCTTCAAATGATGCTGGATGTCCTTTCAAATAAATGATTATTTGATCTCTGTATATCCATGGTTAGTGGAAACATTAATGAACATAAATGTACTTTTAACAGCACAAGGAGAGTTAGTCTGGAGAAGGCAAAGGAAGCTTCAGCCAGGAACTATCTAAAGTTTGTATCTCAGGTTTGCACACTTAGCAACTGTTATTTGTAACGGGACACCAGGGACTTTCAGCTGTAGCACAAGGAACATGGCATGCTGGGCTTGAGCCATGCAGCACCTCCGGGATTACCAGAGCTGGGGCCCGATAGGCTCCCCGAGGGCACCCGCTGGAGCTGCTGGAACCCCACCTCCGGGGGGACCCCAGCACCCGTTGTGCTCTCCGTGGCTGCTCCTCCTGTCGGTGCCCCTGCCTGGCGAGGTGGCATCGCTTCCCTACGTAGCCTGGTGCACAGACACATCTTCCTGTCGGGCCGCACTGCTGTGACACAGAGCCCAGGGGACTGCAGTCACACAGCACACAGAGCCGCTTCAACGGGTCCCACCACATATTAGGCTTTAAAGCCAAGAAGAGAATGAAAGGAAAAGAAAACAGAAGAAGAGCATATGGTGTTATTCAGGGGAGAGACGCAGATGATATTTTCAAATTTCCTGCGGAAAGGCCAGTTTGACGTCTGAGAATTGCTTGCTTCTGCTTACTTGTCTTTATTGTCAATAAAAAGTATTTACGTGAAAGGTCTCCCCAAATCCACCTGTTCTCAGGAAGGAGTCCCCAGATGCTGCTTGTCCTGAAGGCAGGGCAGTCAACACATCCAGGGACTGAGAACAGCATAGTTCAACCGAGTATTTCATTTCAGCAAATGTTATGCCTAAAAGTACACTGATTGGCTTCTCTGTTGTATACTTTTGCTAATAGATTTCTCACTGGAAGAAACTATGATGGAAGAAACTGAAAAACAGTGTTTGCTAAGAAGGAAGGAACGAATACATTTTATTCTGCCTAAAATTTTAAAGGTTAAAAAAATATTTTACTCTCCAGTGGCTGGGGTTAAACTTGGAAGTTATTTTACCCCGACACATCTGAATTATAAGAAGTATTATACAAATTCTCTGCCAAAGAAATGTAGGTTTCAGGTCAACTGCAATGGTAGAGAAAATTGAGAAGATATTTCTCGTATCACAGGCATTTTCTTTGTAGAATTCGATAATTCCAAGCCCCCTTTTCAGCACACTAAGGTATGAAATGCAAGCCGTTGAGAGGGAGGGTTCTGGAGGCATCAGCGGAAGTCGGCTGCCCCTTACCTTGCACTTTTCACACTGCCGGCCCTGCACGTTGGGTCTGCACTTGCACTGTCCTGTGCGGCTATCGCAGATCTCAGAGGTAGAGCCGTTGGCGTTGCAACGGCAAGCTGTGGAAGGAAGAGACGGTGGGCAGCTGGAGACGCAGTCAACCACAGGGGTCGCATGTCTCCTCTGAAGTGTCCGGCATGAGAAACACAAATTTGGGAATATTTAATGGACTGTATTGGTTGAGCATCTTTGATCTGGATATCCCAAATCAGAAATGCTCTTGGTGTTCGTGGGCTTGTTAAATAAAAGTACGTCAGCAGTAGAACCTTTCTGCTGTGTCAAGGGCTCTTTTTTTTTTTTTTTTTCCAGTACCAGGGATCGAACTCGGAACCTTGTGCTTGCTAGGCTGGTGCTTATGCTGCTGCTGAGCTATCTCCTGGGCCCTGTCAAGTACTCTCTTAGGAATTCTATCTCTTAAGCCTCATACCAGCTCTAGCAGTTGTAGAGATGCTGCATCGGCCACGAGCCTTGGCACATAATCTGCTATTAAAATGTCGATGCCATCATTACTTCAAGCATGAAAATGAAGATGCCGAAATTCAAAGAAGCCATGACATGTACAAGGCCATACGCTTCCTAGGTGACAGGGCCAAGACACGGAAACTGGACAGTAGCATGAGTTCTCAGAGGCCAGGTACCCATAGGTGGGGAGGCGTTTACATATCATAACGTCACTAATTCACGTATTCTGACTCCAAGGGCAGAAGTAATTTTGAGAAGTTACGAGGATTAACAACACTTAGGCCATAATATTAATGTCATTATCAATCAACACGATTAGTTCTTTTTGTAATGTAAGGATCATTTACTCTGCGCCAGTTTTTGGTGCTAAGTTTCCCAAAAAGTCTTGAGGTAAAATAAACATAAATCCCTTTAAATGAGAAAAGTATGTTCCATAGTAAGTACATTGCTTTACATCCATTAAAATTTTGAAAATTCACTTTTATCTTACAACTCATATACCATCTTCAAAGATAGAAAATATATTTGGTTTTAGTACTCTTCTGTCATTTTTGTGTTTTAAAGTTGTCTGATGTTATTCTGAAACATATAATAAATCAGTCTAAAACCCAAGTGGTCTTTTCATAAATAGAACAGTAATTAATGGCTTTCGCTTTGTTCTACAAGTGCATTTTTAATGGTACATATAATTGCATTGATACCAGAATAAAGTCATGAGGGGGAGATGACATGAGGGGTTGTTAGACTATTCATAGATGGATTTGGTAAATTTTGTACATTATCTCTGACTACTTAAAGCACAATTGATGAATACATTATAAATAGCTACTCCATCAGAGCTCGCTGTTAGTCTGTTCACCTGGCTCCAAGTTCTCCTTCTCTTTAATGCTTATCTAAAGATTACTTGAGCTTCTGCTAGTGAAGTTCTCGGCTTCGGTAGGTGAGAACTTGATACTGGTAGAGCAGGTGCCAACCAGATGCCGGGTGTTGTCATCGGACAAAAGCATAAAGGCAGTTTGTAGCGGGAATGGAAGGAAAGGGTGAAAAATATTACTTTCTTTAAATAGCCTTTTATTTGACACTAGAGTCGTTTTGCATACTATTAGTTTCTTTATGGAAATTTCTTCTGTGTGTTACACATACATTTTTAAAATCTCAAATTACTTAGAATCCAGGTGTTCTTTTTTCTCAGAGACTACACAATGAAATTTCCATTAATAGAGTAGTGATTAATTAGCTTTATAAGTAACAAAAGCAATAAAGAACTTTATGAAAGTGGCATTTTTAGTGGCAAAGTATAATTTGATGTTCTATATAAATTTAAATGGCCAGCCAAATAGCTCAGTGGATTAAGGTGACTGCAGGCAGGTGCAGGGGCTGGTGGTTCAATCCCCAGGCCTGGTGTGCTGGCCCTGCAAACAGGGGCCACTGAGATGGCAATTGAGACGGGGCATGGTGGCTCATGCCTGTAATCCCAGCTCTTGAGAGGCTGTAAACAGGAGGATCGCTATGAGTCTGATCTAGAAGTGAGACCCTGAACACCCTGTAAACCTTTCCATAAAATACAGGGAAAAAATACAATAAATTAAAAAAGCAAACGATGTTTCTGTGAGGGATGAACATTCCATGGACAAATCTAGATGATTTTTCACAAAACTTTCTCTTCTTGAGATTTACCACTATCTGTAGGAGAGCTATTGAATCCATGAAAATTATCAAAACAGATTATAGATTCTATGTTGATTATTTTTACACATTGAGGAGTATTAAAATCACAACCACATCTACACCCCATGGCAAGTGGTGTGGAAATCAGTCATGACTCCTATGTTTTTCTATGTCCTGAGACTTAGAGCCACTCTCTAGTCCATAGCAAAATGAATTGCACAATATCTTCAGTTTTATAGAGGACGTTTGTAGAAAACAGAGAAAGAGGTCAATAAATAATGAGCATTGGCCGGGAGTTAGTGAGCCACTGGTACAGTTACCGCAGTGACACACTCTTGCTACAAGTGTTGCTTATTACCCATTGAGTGACCATGCTTGCCTCCCTCAGGCCCCAAGCTCACGGGGTGCCTTCCGTGTGTTGAAGCCCTCAATTGCCCACATCAAATCTAGGACCCTTCTTGTAGACAGGAAACAGCCTCATCAAGGTCAAATTCTTCTCTTGGATGTCAAAGTGACAGAGTACACACCTTAGGTGATTGGCTTGACCAGTACAGTTTCTTAAGCTCCCTACACTATCACACAGATACCAAAAATCTGAGGGTTCTAAAGTCACTCTGAGCCTGATAAGAACTTGCCTTTTAAAAAGAAATCAGTTAGCAGGTGATACCAATAGATACTGGTTGTTTCTGAGAGTGATCTGCTTCTGATTGAACACATTTTCATTTTTATATGAAAAAAAAATCTAACACTTATCTCAGTCCATGAGGAAAGGATCATGTGCCTTTCTGGAACAGGATACCTAGTGGGTCTTTGGTGTTCAAAGCAGAGCTAACAGGCTATGCCTCTCATGGTTGCCATAGGGCTACAGGGCTGCGAGATGACCCGAGGTACTGAAATCTCTCTCACATCATCAATTTAGCAGAAATGGACCATCTGGCTGGTCTTACGCCCTGTACTTCCTAGAGATTATTATAGCAGCTGAAGCTAACAGCGGTCACATGATGGTTTCAAGCACTAATGTGGATTCATGTTCTATTTGACTTCCACTACCAGGCCTCTTCTGCATAGTAGGTTCCTACAGTGTCGAAGCATTTATTAATTCCGTGCATCACAGCTATGGAGGCAAAGTTGAGTGGAGGAATGTACTTTCCTGAAATGGGTGAAGATTTAAAATAACTAGCTTCATGGAAGAAGGACATAGAATTAGCACTGGACAAATTCTCCCAAACTGACAATTAATGAGTCACTCAACAATAACTATTCTGGCGTGGGATAGTATCGGTGGAGTTGTACATTTATTGTGAAATGCTGAGCTGAAGTTCACATATAAGAGCGGAGCCTATTAGCGTCTACTGAAATGTACTAATGAAATAATGAGTGGCTACATTTATTTTGAACAAATGATTAAAATTGAAATAAAAGGGATAAAAATCCTACTTAATTTATAAATTCATCTTTCCCACTATGGATACAAAGCATTTTAAAATTCTCTTTCCTCATGTGAATGGAAATAGTTGCAGCATTTGCACAACATTATTTGGCCAGGCCACAACTTGCAGCGGCTTTGCTCTTAGTTAGGACAAAGACCTATTTTGGAGCATGCGTTTTGCTCCCGGGCTGTGCGCAGAGCACTCTCAGAAGCAGCCGACATTGTATCACAAACAGTCTCGTCTCCAATCGCCACTCACGAGCTCATCAGCTTCTCCGAGGTGTAATATATCAATCCCGTCAGGGGCATCACCAGCTCAGGACTTACGCTGACAGTTCTTGGCGTCCACAGCGTCTCCGAAATAGCCTTCCGCACAGAGCTCGCAGCGCTGGCCTGTTGTACCCGGCTTACATATCAGACAGGAGCCAGACAAGCTGTTACAGCTGCCAGGGATGGAGAAGTCAAGGTTGTCATTGCACTGACAGGGCTGACATGATCCTCCAGGTACAGAAGGGCGTCCAAAATAGCCTTCCGCACACCTACGGGGAGAAATTGCATCCGTGAGAATTGGAGGGGCAAACCCACGCTATCCGCGCAAGGCGATGTTTGCATATTCTTATACTCCTCATCTAGGATGATGGCATTTCCTTTTCAATGTCTCTTGTCTCAAGTGCAAGGTGATTAAAAATGTTTTTCTGTACTGCAGTGTAGATACAAGATGAAAATCCTACCAGCCCCACTAGTAATTAGATTGCAGCCGGACCGAGAAAGAAAATAAAAATCTTGTCACTGACACTGAAGATGAAACCAAAGCATAATAAGAAATCGGCCGCTGGCACCGTGGAGGCATCCAGGGCCCTGCCGCAAAGACTTTGTAGTAAAACAAATCATGCGGCTCGACTTCAATTGGTTGTTTTCTGTACAAATATGCAAGGTTCACATACTCATTTGTTTTTGCAGCAAGAGATTGTTATGAAGAAACAGGCTGACAAGGAAATTCAGTAGTAAGAATCCAGAATTTATTAAGTGGAAATTGTGACTCAGAAGATTGCTGTTGTGTGGGGGTGGGGGTACCTCTGAATTAATACTAGCTTGGCATGTATTTGTGTAAGAATCCCATGGCAGATATTCAATGCAACATCTTTATTAACAAGAAGTGGAAATAGGTGTGCCTGCCTATTACAATACTGTTCCAAAAAGTGGTGTTAACCTGTGCTTCCAGTCAACAATGGGTCTCGTTAACAAACAAAAGCTGTTTTACAATATCGTATTATTTATAAGGCATGACACAGATTTCTAAAAAATATAGTATCGGAGTTTCTTGGAGCTAAATGTTTAAAGTGTTACTTAAGGTTGTGGCTTCCCAGATCCACCATGAGAGGTGGCACCTGCTTGCATTCCGCTCCGCCAGCTCTTGTGGCCACATTTCCATCCGCTCCCTATTAAACCACATGTGAAAAGGAGATGAAATCAGGGTATCCAAAGTTGCGTTATATGTGACATAAACAAGCTCTTGCAGGAAGGGCCAAAATTAAAAACAAACAAACAAACAAACAACAACAACAACAATAACAACAACAAACAGTGTATGACAATATCCTTCCTCCCATAGTTCCTTACTTTTAGGATAGTCTGCTCACAGATGGGAGAGAAAGGTCTTAGAGAGAAGCTCTCTACCAGTTGAAATAAAAATGGTTTAAATCTAGTGTCATATTGAGGATACATTTATAATATTTCAATTGAGTTGCAAACTCACTAATTTGGTAGAACCCAAAGTCCAGTGTAAGTTTTCTAGAAAATGTATAGAATGCAATAATCTGAATGATTTGATGTCTTCTCATAATTTTTCAAAATGAGATTAATAGTTTTAATTAAATTCACACAGTGGTTTATAAAATAACAAACATCGTATAAAGATAGTTTAAAGAGAGATTGCCTTCCGCAAATATAATTATGGATTAGTTTTCTTATGAAATCCAGAATAACATTTTTGAGCATATAATTTTTCCACAGCCCTTTCGCGAGCATAATGTAATAAAATAACAAGTTCCTTTTGGATCTTCACCTGATTCCTCTTGTCTCATTCGCTATTCAGAGCCCACAATTACACCCATAGATATTCACATCTCATCCTGTTTGTCTCTAAGACGGTGGCTTCGCTTCTTGTAGAAGACAGTGTGGAGTGATTATTATCACAGTCCATGAGAGCCTATTATTTTCAGTTTCTTTTTTTTTTTTTTTTCAAAATGACTTAGTGGCCTCAGGAGAAATGGCATTACATAACAAGATCTTGGAATGTTTCCTAGCACAGATGCCAATTAATAAGTCCCAAGTTCTCCTATAATAACAAATTCTCACTCCATGGAGAAAATGCTGTTAAATTTAAACACTGTTGAGTAAAATAATGAAGAAGCACCTTTTATTTTTATCTTAAGGCATGTAAGGAAAATTGGTGGCTATGCATGACAGAAGATTCATATGGCCATTCAGGACCGCCAGGTCACTTCCGCAGGTCACCGTGCTCCCCGGCTGGTGAATGTGACTGCATACCTTCATATGTAGGGCAGCATTTGCAGAGACTTAGAAAATGTCTCCTTGGGAATTAAAAGTAATTTCAGGGTCAGGAAATGTAATGCCCCTAATCAGATAATTTTATTAATAATAATAGCATTACATAGCCTGTATAATTTAAATTCATTCTAATTAAACTTAGTTAAAATGTAGCCCTTTGGACCTTTCCAGTTCCTTAGATTTTGCTTGCGATCAAAGCTAATTGTGATATGAAATCTCAAGCCCTCTAACTGATAGGCAATTTTAAACATATTTCACCGAACTCATATAAAAGTTGTTTATTAAATTCCTTGTTAAAGATGAACATCTTAACATAAAATGTCAGTGTTCTCTTTTCAGATTTGTTAACTTTTTCAAATCAATTTACAGTGGTTTAAAAAGAGACCCTTTAAAATGTAAACAATTCCAGATGACACATGGTAGGTATGTGACACAGCTTCTGCTGTTGGTGAGTTCAGAATAATATTG